TACCTTGGGAAGTCTTCGGGCATAGTCCTGATATACTTACTATACGTCTACGTATTTTTTTTTCGTAATATCATTTTTATTTAATCAAAAAAAACAAAAAAAATGGTTGGTCGTTACCCAAAAGAACAAAAACTATGGTGGGTGTTTTCACTCGAGCACTTGCCTATTTACTTTTTGCTTTCTTTTTTTCTGTAAAGCTCCCACTATAGTTTACCCTTTTGCAATGCTCAAAAGCTTTGGCTAACTATCTGGATTTCTTAGAACACTCGCTTAATCTTCTGAAGTATATGCAATTTTCTATCCTACACAAAACATGTAATTACTAGAATAAAACCTATGTAATGACCCAAGGGTTTGACAAATTTTTATCACGCAAAGTGGCCTTGTTCTTTAAGGTAGACAACCTCTCAAAGTCACTTTTATGGTAATTTTATTCAAGGCATGCTTATCACTAATCATGAATTAATCAAGAATAGTGCTAAGCTAATTTTGTTATGGAGCATAAATAATGTTTTTCTATGAAGTCAGCAACACTAGCTAATACGTATCCACTGAGAGATACTGCCAGTGACTCAATATCCCATTCATTACCTTTTGGTCCTTCCCTTTTTGGTTATCTCTAATACTTTCAATTTGCATAGTAAAACTAAACTTATGCTTTTAATCTTAGGATGACCATGTGATAATTCCAACTCATACTATTCGTTGGGATGATATCAAGGTTTAGAGGCAACAGATCAAGTGATGTCAGCATTTTTAAAAAATATGATTGATAATTGAGTCGAACTTTGTAAGTTCAAGTCGAATCTATCGAGTACATTTTTTTAAACAAGTCTAAAAAATTGTTTTAACTTAGCTTGTCTAGAAAATGAGCCGAGTCGAGCCCAAAATAAGTCGAATCTGAATCGAGTCTGAGTAGCTCGACTATGTTATATATAAACGAGCTGAATTTTGTAAACTCGAAACGAGTCTTTTTTAAGCTTGTTTTTTAAACAAACTCAAAAAATTATTTAAGTTCAATTTATTTAGAATGCGAGTCAAGTTTGAATTAAATCTTATCTGAGTCGAACGCGAATAACTCGACTCAATTATCAACCCCATTCAAAGGCATAAAATTCATACACTCGACATAACGTGGGAAAAAGAATTACTTTAGACCGATCCAACCTACATAAGCCTGGCTTTCTAGGAGAGCACTACGGTATTCAAATGGTACCGTACTAAATTTTGTTCCGAGCATTGATGGAAAATAAGAGAAATGGTATCGAAAAGTTAACTTTTCGGCATGGTTGGACTCTATACACTTAAAAGCAGAAGAACAATGACACACAGTACATTGGCTATAAACAATGGATCCACAGCCAGTTTTCAATGTGAGAAAGCAACTGTATAGTACAGGAATATAACGTGATGATTACTAGTTCCACCTGCTTTTTCCATTTTCTCCATCCTCTGAGGTTGGAAAAACTACCCATTTTCGGAATTTGGAAACCACTAACAATACTCATCAAGCAAAGTTGCAAGGAATCGTCCTAACCGGCATTTTTTTTAAGTACTGAACCTGAGATGATCATCACTTTTCTATACATTTAGGGTTGGTCCAGAGTTTTCTTCACTAAAACTTTGATCTTTGGAGAGACAAAGGTGTTGAAGACAGATATATAATATCAAGATGTGGTAAAATAATTTGATGGCATCAATTCAACCAATTTTGCTTCCATGAGATATTATCTTATTATTCCTATTAAGTTTTGGCCCGTGAATTTAAGTCTTATAAACCGAGTCAAACCACGTTTTTTTTTTCTTTTTGTCTTCTCTAAAGAAAAAGAGTGGTTAATCTTTAGTTAATGTGATGTTGATTCGTTAGAAAGAATTGAACCAAATGATGTTGATTCGTTTCGTCTTCCTCTCAGTCTATTAAATTCTATAGAAGGCATTAGGATGTCCATAGGTTAGCTCCTAGCCGACACACAAAAGGGGTACCCAAGTGGAGGATGCTTTCATTTCCCCTTTTAAAAGACGACTTACATGTATTTGTAGGTAGAAGAAAAAAGGCCTTTTCTGCAATCTGTCTAAGCTTTCCGTACGATCAAATTTTATTCCTTCAGTTACTATTATCTTTACTAGTAGTGTTAAAGCATTCAAAATTATAGCGTCCGTTTGCTAAGGAAGTATAGGGGGTTTAGGAAGATAAATTTGAGAAAAATAGTTCAAAATTCTCTTAAATTTTATGTTTGTTTGAAAAATTTAGTCTCTGATTTTTAAACTTGGCCCGTAGTTGGCCCGAAGATTAAACTCATGATCATGAGTTTCGTCAATTTTAAGGAAGGAGTGGGTTCGGAAAAATGAATAAAAAGTTAAAGATTTAAAAAATAATTGTACTCTTTAATATAAGTATGAATTGGATTGATAATGGGTAAAATAGTCATTTATAAATTAAATAATTATGATATATCTGTGGGTCCTATATGTGTAAATATTGTATACAAAACATTGGTATGAACGAGATTGAATGTTAAATATCATCTTTATAAAAAAGAGTTTGTGTTTGAAAGGGTTTAAAAAACAAATCTTCAAAATTCATCCAAACAAGTCTATAATATTAAAGCATCCAATTCTTCAAAACCCACTGGCCATCGGCCAGAGTGATGGACAATTGATAATGATTCAATAGTCAAGGTTTCTGAGTTAACTTATGTGTAATTCAACTAACTCCTTTCTTGGTCTGATTAATGATAGATCATTTACGTTGAAATTAGAATATTCATAAAGAATAGATTTCTCATGACTTGATTCTATCAAGATTCAAACTTACAACATTTATGTGTGGACTTACTTATAATAAACTCTAAGATATATAATGTCACGCCATTGCCAGTGAGGTTATGAAAAGGAAAACTCACGTGCTTGGAAACTTTAATATGAAGACAAATGGAAAGAAATTATGGTTTGTTTGTTAATGGGTTCTCTTCTTTGGTTGGTCATTCGTGAGGAAATAAATTAAAAATGCAAAGAAAAGACTAAAAAACACAACAAAGAATAAAAAAAAAATAAGAAGAACAATAAAGAACCAAAAAATTTAAAAAGTTAGGGTTTTAATGACAACAGCAATGGGTGAGTTGAAATTCGTGTTTGATTTAGGGCTCATTTTATAGCATTAAAGATTGCTTAACAAGAATAATTAAAATTGTTTGTTGCCATCACTATAAAGTATAAACTTATATGACGACAATAAGCGAAAAAAATTATAACACAAAAATTTAATCCTTTGCAAAAAAAATTACAAGGGTGCATATTTAATTTTTCTTTTTAAAAATCTAGGAACTAGCCTATATAATCTATTTATATTTATAGGTAATACTAGTAAAACAAAAGAGACTTTAATACTTGAGGGGGGTCACAACTAGATTCATGAAGAACTTGGGATCGGTCGATCCTCCATTTTTGGAGTCAGTCATCAACTAAGTTTATGGCTAATTCGCCTATATCAAGGAAAATAATTAGTTGTATGTTTAAATATCTATTAAAAAAAAAAAAAAAGAAGCGAGACCGACTTGACTGCGTGTCTTCATTCACCTCAATGGTGGGGGACATATATATCGCCCCCCCCCCCCCCCCCCCCCACCCCAACCCAAAACTAAAAAAACAAACCCAAAAAAAGGCCGAACCCATCAAAAAAATCTTTGATCCACATTTAGGTACGAGTAAAAACCACCCTGTCATGGCAAAAATACCCTTTGCCTTTCACTTTCTTAATGACCTTTTCCGAATTTTTTCTTTTCAGCTGTGATTAGAGATATGGGTGGTCAGCGACGGCTCCGACCAATTTAAGGTCGAAAATAAAGATGTGTTGATGTTGTCAAAAAAAATTTTTAACGTTTGTTTTTATTTTTTATCATATAGAAAGAAAGTGTTTAATTTTAACTTTTATTTTTTATTTTTTATTTACCTCAGAGAGAGAGTTGGTGAGAGTAAATATGAGTTGAATTTTAAGTATTTTTTTAATTTTTTTAATTTTTAAATTTTTTAATGTTATGAATTGAATTATAAACCCAAATTGAGGTATAAAATCTATGGCTTTTTCCGCCGCCCTGTGGGTGGTCTTGTCGATTTGCATGGGGTGGAGAGGCATGGATAGTGTCCATTTAGGTAATTTCACTTCCTTGAAATTTTTTCAAAGTGTGTGGGCTGATGTAACTTTCTAAATGGAATGAAATCAACACAAATTTTTGACTCTTTTTAAGACATTATATAAATCTTACAAGAGAGAATGGACTGTTTTTGAAATAAAGTGGAAAACACAATGAGAGAGAGAGAGAGAGCAATCACTGTCAAAAAATATTTTGGAGAATCCTTTTGTTTCCTGGCCATTTGTTGGGTTTCTCTTGGAAGCAAAAGAGAAGGGAATAGCAAAACGGGTTGTTTGGAGCAACCATCTGTCCCCTATTATGCTACATGTACACCTATGGACTGAGTTTTAATTGAAATTTTTTTAATTAATCACAAATAACGGATTGATTTTTTTGTTGATTATCCAATACAGAATATGACAAACGTGAGTGATTATTTGGTGTAATTAAGTAAAAATTAAAATATAATTCAAAAATTCAATCTGATTTGAGTTATCTGAATCGAATATTATTTCAAAATAGGTTTTTAACTTTTTCTTTTTTTTGAATTTGATTACGAAAAGTGAAAATAAAATCTGTCAAATAATTTTTGATCGGCCAAAATTTAACCCAGTGACAGACCGACCATAGAGTGGCTTTGCTGGTAGCTCATATTCTAAGTGCCGACAATAGTAATAGTACAGGGAATAATTTCTTTCATTTGAAACTCTTATTCTTTATTCTTTTTTTTATTGTGTGGCACATTTACAATTGTATAATTCAAGTGTGGTGTGTAAAGCGACCCCTCTCCCCAACCCCTAACACCCCCACTCCCCAACCCACACTAGACCCCCGATGGCACTTTTGGGCACTACAAATTCAGACCCAACCCCTCACTAATCTCATGCAAGTTCCATCTCCTCCTCCTCCTCTCTCCCTCCCTTTAAATACCCATCTTTCTTCTCTCTCAAATCATAAACTTTCCCTCATTAATTAGAGGCCTAGAGAGTGAAGAACCTCTGTTCTTCCTCTTCCTCTTCCTCAGCTCAAACTCTTTGCTCCTCAAATTCAGCACACCTTTTTCTCCTCAATTCTTGACAATTTTTTTTGTCAACATGTCCACCATAGTGTGTCAAGGTGTGCAGCCATGTCTTGATACACAAGTTCTAGAGAAAACCATGCTTAGGCTCACATTGGCTGCACCAAAATCCATAGATTTTAGCAGAGAGAAATGCCATTTTGAGGACATCATGACCACGAAGGCTATAACCCTTGGTACTGACACCCACAATTCCTCAAATCTTGACTTGGGTGGTTGGAGTTTTCTACAATCTCTCTCCAATCTCTCTCCTAAAGAAGAAAAGCCCAAAGAAAGCTCTTATGTCCACCCTTTGGTTAAGAGGTCTTCATCTCCAAGGCTCAGTGAAAAGAGCCTAGAAATTTGCACTGAAAATCTGGGTAGTGAGACAGGCACCGACACCATTGAAAGCACCATTTTCTCTTCCTTTTCATCAGATTCAGTGACTGAAACTTCACTCCCAAAAGAAGAAAAGAAGCTCACGAAACAACAAATGGGGTCTAGGAAGGTGAATTCTTACAACTTTCCACCTCCCCTGACCTCAAGAAGTGGTTCAAATTCTCTCCAATTTAGGCCCCACCGTGAAGGAGGAAGGTTGATTATCAAAGCCATCGAGTCCCCATCAACACACACTTATTTTCAAGCAGAACGCAGCAATGGCCGCCTTCGACTAAGCTTTTTGAAGGACCATGCCTCTAACTTTGACCTGAACGTCACCACCATTGAAGAAAATGAAAGCATCAGTGAAGAAGATGATATAGACAGAGTCGAAAACGACACTGAGGACGAAGAAAAAGAGGAGGAAGAAAACGATGAAGAAGAAAAATATGAGCTTGAAGATGATGAAGAAGAAGAAGATGATGACGAAGAAGAAAGTGATGTTTACTTGAGGAAGGACATGGAGGGTAATAGTTTAGATGTTGAGGTTGAAATGGGAATGGAGAAGTTTCAAAGGCCAAGTAGGTGCAAGGAAGGTGGGCGTGGCAATAAGGGGTTGTGTAATTGGGAGGCTTTATGGGTGGCTACTTCCTAGGCTTTTGTACTGATCGATTTCTCCATATTCAAATTCCATAAGTTTTCTTTTAATTTCCTTTGCCTTTCTCTCCCCTTTCTTTCTTCTGTATTCCTTTGTTCTATAAAAATATTATTGTGGTTGGTAGTTATTATCGTTATTTGACCCCTCTCTTTCTCTCTCTAGATCTCCCACACACATACACATACACATACACACACAATTTTTTCATTATTTTTTTCTTGATGTTTGGACATTTTGGGCTCAAGTGTTTGGGCAATGTAGAAATAGAGTTATTGGTTGGCACTTATTGCTGGACTGTAATCCTTAGAGCCAGAACCTTGGGAGAATTTTTTTCCTTTTCAAAATAATCACCAACGGATAGAGAGCTGAACTCAACAGTGAAATGAGTCACTGTCCTTTCAGTCTCAGATAAGAAATATATGATCCCTTCTAGTCACAGAATAGTTTAGCAACCGACACAACAAGGATAAGGGGTTTTTACGATAAATTTTTTATGGTGATTGTGTTCGTCGTCACAAAAGGCGTGTTTAAGATAATTTTTTATGACGGTTTTGTTTGTTATCACAAAAAACATGTTTGTATTAATATTTTGTTAATATTTGTAACAACTATTTTTTCTATCATAAATAGTGTCATAAACTCAAAAGAATTTTTTGTATTTGAGATAATTATTTTTCCTGCCGCAAATAATATCTCATAAACTCAAAAAAAAAATTCATATTTACGGCAACTATTTTTTCTGTCGTATATAATATTTCATAAAACATTAAAATATTATTTTAAATTAAAAAACAGTTTATGGTTTAAAGAAGAAAAAATTTTAAAAAAATTTGTATTGGTCATAACTATTTTTCATGTTACAAGTAATATTTTATAAAATTACATAATTTTACATCAAAAGACAGTTTTTAATTCAAAGAAAGAAAAAATTAAACTCTATAAAGTCAATTGTTTATATCAAAAATAGGGGTGTCAAAATATGACACGACCTATTAACAGGACATAAAATTAGTGGGTTTTAGTTTTTCTTAAGCCACCTATTTAGTGAACAAGTGGACCTGACATGATGCGATTATAAACGAATTAGATATTGCTAAAACCAATTAGAAGAAATATATACGATATGATTCGTTTATATACCATTTACATAATTGGACAAGTCGTTCAGAGAAATATTGTGTGACCCTTTATTGATGTATATTCAAACTTCTTTTAGTTCTTTATTGTATATAGGTATATAAATATCATTTTAGTATAATAACAATAATTTTATGTTTTTTTCAAATGTCACTGAGAGAGTAGATGGTTCAGGAAAAATGTTCAACTTTTGCATTAATTTTTTGTACTCATGGCTCGTTATTTCGTAAAAGTGCATATTTTACATTTTGTTTAACTCATAAAATTATTTTTTTTATATGAAAATATTGTTATATTTTTAGAAATGCTAGTCATATTTATTTTTGTGTTCATCTATATATTGAATTAGGTAGTTATACGGATATCAAAGATTTTTTGGTTCAATGGTACTCCTTACCTTGTGAACCATTTACCTTCTTGAGATCAAGGATTCAAGCCCCTTTTTCCCCTCCCCCTCTCAAAAAAAAAAAGTTGTACGGATGTGCACTTTTAAATTCATTTAATGGAAGTATATATATGCACAGGGTATGTAACATTGGTTACTAACGGTCCATAATAATTAAAAAAAAATTATTTTTTTTGTGGTAGCATTATTGCCGTCTTAAATATATTTCATTTAACGTAGAAAATTTTTTATACTTTTTGCGACAATATATTAACCGCCACAACAAAGCCTTCTATTTTTTACGACAGTTAAATGCGGTATTTGAGGCAGCACTCTTGCCGTCGTAATAAAAGCAAAAGTGTCGAATTTTTTGTGATAACTTATTTACGATAGAGTCTTGCTATTGTAAATATTATTTGAGACAGACTGTTACTGTCGTAAAAATTTTTTTGAAACTACACTTATTATGGCGAGGCAATGCCGCCACAAAAAAGTATTTGTGACGGCAAATAGATCTTTTATAACAACATTTTATTGCTGTAAAAACTATTTTTTCTTGTAGTGTTAATGGGTGGTCCAGTGGAGTATTTAATGAACTTCTTACTCTAAAGTTGGAGATTCAAATCTTAGAATTTACAGTGAAACTTAATGGTTGATCGTAATGTTAATCTACTTAGATTCATTCCCAAGAGGAGTAATAGATGTGGTCAAAGACCTCATAATCCCACCAATAAAAGTCTATTGAGGAGGTCTCTGAGAGTTTTCTTTTACCCCACTCTTTTTTTAACCAGCAAAAAGTCAGGTTAGCTTAGCAACAAGAAGATCTTAGATGCATTGAAATAACCTACAATTGAGACCCAAAAAAAAAAGTTGTACCTAATACACACGATTTGAACTAAAAAAGAAGAATAGTAAACAGATTTATCTCAATTTTAAATAGACTAACTACAATATTTGAACTCGTAATTTGTTATTTGGACTAGTGAACACTTACTATCATGCTCGACCTATAAATAAAATATACAAATATATTACTAGTATAAAGGGAGAGAGAGGAGTTTGCTGTCCACACCCAGAATATCTATATAGTACCTCTGAATTTTTGTCACTTTAAACAGTTATAACCCCTTAACAGCTCTTAACTCACTTTCAACTAAACTCAACTGCCTATATAATTTTCCCAATAACTCTCTCTATCTCACCCTCTTCTCTCTATGTTATTTTTTTCAATCACGCAAACAGGTGGTCGTGTGCCTGACCAACTGTCATATATAAAGTGAAGTAACAAAGTGAATTGATATGAACCCGCTAAACATAGTATCTATACGACACAAAGTGCATGAACTCTACAAAACAACCTCTACATGACAGTTATGAACATTAAGCCATGTATATATCCTTGCCAGATCCAATTCAAGAGGAGGGGTAGAATATAGTTAACCATTTGCCATAGTTCTTTGTCTTCATGAATACATAAGAGCTAAAAGGCCAAGCAGACAGCGACAAGGACGTTGATAGATAGTTGTCGAGCAAGAATCTCTTTAATTTAAGGAATAAAGAAGCCGACCTTATTACGTACTAGTGTCTCTTACTTAACGTGAAATGGTTCAAGATTCCCAGTCATTATTGATGGTGTATTTCAAGCTAAAATCATTTTTGTGATGACGAGTAAATAAAAGAAACAATATTAGAATTATTGGGATCTGAGTTACTAGACTCGAAGAAATTGTTGGAGAGTTGGAGAATTAACACAGTAGAAATATAGTGGTTCACCAGCTCGAGAGCTTGGCTAGTCCACTCTGAAATGGAGGCTCTTACTCATTTTCTTTCAATAATCGTCGTTACAAGGTTACAATGGCTCCTTTGCGTTTCTAGGATTCCTCCCCCTGTTAGTAGGCTTTACATTGCATTTATAAGGTCATTCCCTACTAAGGGGGATCCTGACCGAGATTCTTGCCCTTACTTCGTGGGGTTCTCCTTAATTATAGGAGAAAATCTTGGTTGGTTGAGATTAGGTGCCTTGATTATAGCTTCCTAAAGCTTTAAGAACCTCTCATGGTTATCCAGTCGTTGTCTTGCCTCAAGAGATATTCAGCTCTTGCCTTCTGACCTTAGTTAATATGTCTGATCTCCCGGTCTGAGCTGAACTCCTGAGCTAACACTTGAAATTTATTTTAAGCATCATCAATTGTCCCCCAGCCTTTGGCCCAAGCGAGCTTGGGCATGGGCTGAGCTGCTTTCACCTTGAACCAGACCTGCACCTAGCTGACCTTAGTCCGCATGTGAGATGCACGTGGGAGGGGCTTTTTGATGGTTACAGCAATCATGGCTCCCTTAGTTCCCACGCACGCTTCATCCCATGTTTTTCAAGCCTTAAATACTCAAACGGCTATCACAGTAGAAATATAGTGGTTCACCAGTTCGGGAGCTTGGCTAGTCCACTCTGAAATGGAGGCTCTTACTCATTTTCTTTCAATAATCGTCGTTACAAGGTTACAATGGCTCCTTTGCATTTCTAGGATTCCTTCCCCTGTTAGTAGGCTTTACATTGCATTTATAAGGTCATTCCCTACTAAGGGGGATCCTGACCGAGATTCTTGCCCTTACTTCGTGGGGTTCTCCTTAATTCTAGGAGAAAATCTTGGTTGGTTGAGATTAGGTGCCTTGATTATAGCTTCCTAAAGCTTTAAGAACCTCTCATGGTTATCCAGTCGTTGTCTTACCTCAAGAGACATTCAGCCATTGCCTTCTGACCTTAGTTAATATGTCTGATCTCTCGGTCTGAGCTGAACTCCTGAGCTAACACTTGAAATTTATTTTAGGCATCATCAGTTGCCTCCCAGCCCTTGGCCCAAGCGAGCTTGGGCATGGGCTGAGCTACTTTCACCTAGCTGACCTTAGTCCGCATGTGAGATGCACGTGGGAGGGACTTTTTGACGGTTACAGCAATCATGGCTCCCTTGGTTCCCAAGCATGCTTCATCCCATGTTTTTCAAGCCTTAAATGCTCAAACGGCTATCAAAAACCGTACAAAACCATCGTTCATCTTCTACGTTGTTCACCTTCGTCTCCGACTCTTTCTCTCTGCGATTTCTGGACTTTCCTCCACACGATTCTCTTATTCTCTGCTCTAGACTGTGCTTTCTGGGTTCGACTTGAAGTCCTGCTTTGTTCCTCTCCTCCAATTTTGTTCTTTGGCTACTGTTTGTTGCTCTCTTCCCTGTCTAGGTATGCTTTCTTCTGCCCCTATCTCTTTCTCTTGCCTTTCCTCACTCTGGATCCCTCGACTTCGAGGTGGCCATTATTTTTCTAAATTTTTCGATTCTTTTTATTTTGGAATCGCGATCGTTGTCTATCTCCTCTTCCCCGCTTTGTGGATTGGAACTCCACTATGCGAATTCTTACTGTTGGGAGGTACAATGTTGACCCTAGAATTATCAGGGGGTGTTTAGTTAGTATTCCTCATTTTTATCATTCTTTCGACTTGCCTTTCTCCTTGCCAATCATGTCTGTCTCCTCTGGAGCAACTCCTTCCTCTGTTTCCCTCTTAAGCGATAGGTCTGCCGAAAGAGATTCTGATTTAGGGAATGAAGGTGACGAGATTGACAACTTTC